CTCTCTCTCTCTCTCTATATATATATGTAAAGTTCCTGCTTATCACAAATTTGATCATATAACATGTATCAGATTGCAGAAGAAGAGAACACATGATCAACTGTAAATCTTTTCAGAATTTCTTCAGGTTACTAAAATGAAGTCTACGATCCCAAACTTGTCTTTTGCTGATTGAGATGGCCCATCAACTGCTGCAAAATCACATATTCTTCCCCATTTGTGCTTGGACCTACTGGGTGTTTATTTAGGGTGTAAATAACCCAAATGAAAAATTCAATCATGGCCCAAGTCAGTATTACTAGTTTAACCCAAATCGATTCTCTACGATTTGATCCCTCTGAATGTCGGTTCGAGTAACTGAATGTTCTCGTTACGAAATTGTGTTAGTTTGCACTTTGCTATTTTTAGGCATGTGATTTCTTCATTCAAATTTTTATGAACTTTCATCAAACAGAATTCTTTATTGTTTAAAGTAAGGAGATTTATAATAGTTTATATATATATATATATATGAGGCATGACTATTCTTAAAAATTATATGGGTTTTAGTAAGAATTGAATAAGATATTAGAACCAATGTCTCTATATCTATATATATATATAAATAATAATAATAATTCATTTGGGAAGTTAGGTCCCATTTGGGTTGAAGCAGAACCACGTACATACACTTTTGTTTGTACATTGTGAAGCATGAGGCTGTGTGGTAGGAGGATGATATTATTGCCATGGAGACTATAAAAGATTCCCACCGATAAATCATTTGATGATATGTGAAGTTATCTTCACTTTTTATACATTAAATATTTATAAAAATGAATTTTATATGGATATATTTTGATAACTTTATAATAATATGTACATATTGGAAGCCCTTTTGATATTAGAACATATCATATCCTACAAGTAATATGGGATAAAAGTTCTAGCAATTTATAAAAATCAGAGTAAGTTCAAACATACTCTTATTAGTAAATTGGGTTCAAAATTAGGTTAACTACTCAACAACTCATTTAGAAAATTGGCATATTTAGGAATCCAAAGATTGATCATCATTCCATTACCATTAAAGCACAAGAAAGGTACAAACTTTTGGTTAGTCATTATACCCAAAGTAAAAAAGAATTTTCAAAATTCAAATAAGTGTAATAATTGTAAATAGAATTTTGATCTAAAGAAGAGGTTGAAGGACTACTCTACCTCAATATATATATATTTTTCTCTCTTTAATACCAAAAAAATGAAAAACTAAAGAGAGAAAATTTACTCCTTTTAAGAGAGTACCTCGAGTCCCTCAAAAGAATGAAATATGGATTTTGCATCTGCTCCCACCAGACCCAGTTCTCAAACTGTGCAAAATTTAGTCCTTGTTTTGTGTACATGAAAAGCAGAATCCAAAAAACGCTCCTTTTTGTTTTGTCTTTCACTCTATAGCTTTTAGCCGTCCGTGATTCTCTTAACAATATAGCTCACCTTCTTCTCCTAGAGTTGAAACAACTCAGTGGGATACTGTCCAGTGTGAAAAGATCCAAGCTTTTGCAGCTGAAATGTTTGTAACTTGGCTCATTCAACTGAAATTCGGGGTACCCATCCAGCATTTTCAAGGTAAGAGCTGCAAATTTTGCGACTTTGGAGGTTATGGTTCTGTTTTAGGAGTTCTGCTGCTTATGGGTTATGCATTTTGTGGATTTTGTGATGAGTTTCCTGTGGTGTCTATGCCTCTTGGTTTTGAGATTTCTGGGCTTGATAGAAGTAGGACCTGGGTGTCTAGAAATGGAGTCTTTGCATTTGGGTTCTTCAAGGGTTGTCAGAAAACGGAGGATTTTGATGGTTTTGTTGTGGGAATTAGGTATAATTTAGGGGATGAAGCTGCAAATGTGCCTGTGTGGACTGTTGGTGGTGGGCTTAGAGTTCCTGTGTACTCCACTGTTAGGCTTTCCATGGATGGGAGGCTGGTTTTGTTTGCAAACTCTAGCAATTTGATTGTCTGGAGCAGTAATACTTCTGGTTTGGGTGTTCAAAAAGCTACCCTTTTGAATGATGGAAACCTAGTTCTGACTGACAATAGTGGTAAGGTGCTCTGGGGAAGCTTTGCTAGTCCAACTAGCACTCTTCTTCCTGGTCAATCTTTGCATTTTTCTCAATCCCTTAGAGCCCCTTCAACAAAATCAATTTCTAGTTACTACAACTTTTTGATCCAGCCATCGGGTGAGCTTGCCATAGTGTGGGAAAGCAATGTGACTTACTGGAAAACTCATACGAGTTCCAGCGGTGTAAGTAGAGAAGCAAGATTTGACGCTAATGGTGTTTTGAGACTCATTGATGTAAATAATAAAACTGTCTGGTCTGCGTCAAGTAAGGATTCTGAGGATCCTTCTGTGGTTTTGAGGCATCTGAAGATTGATACGGATGGGAACTTAAGGATTTACTTGTGGAATAGTGTCTTACGTGAATGGAGAGTGGGATGGCAAGCAGTGGAGAATCAATGTGATGTGTTTGGTTCCTGTGGTTTGTATAGCTTGTGTGAGTTTAACTCCACAGGGCCTCTTTGTGATTGTCTCTCTGATGATTCCAATAACTTGGGAACTGGTCTTCCCGTACCTGAAATTGGTAGTTCTAGGTGTGGGAAAATGGCAGACCTGGCAAGTTGCAAGATGAACACAAGTATGATGGTCTTCAAACAGACAGTGCTTTATGGTCTCTATCCCCCTCAAGATGTTGTTGTCATGCTAAGTGAGGAAGCCTGCAAAGAGTACTGCTCTAACGATGCTACCTGCATTGCGGTGACATCAAGGAATGACGGTTCAGGAGTCTGCACTGTTAAAAGAACTAGCTTTATAACTGGATATAGGAAACCTTCGATTCAGGCAAATTCGTTTCTGAAGGTTTGTCTGGTACCCCAGGCAGTTTCAGCACGAGCTAATCTCCATGGTAATTCAAATCAAGTTACCATGTCATCTAAAGGCTCCATTAACCATGGAGGTAATGGTAAGGAGTTTGCAGGAGCTGTTGCTATCACAGTCTTGGTAACAGTCTTGAGTTTTCTATCTGTTCAGATTTTTATGTGTTGGTTTATTTATCGGAGATTGAAACAACAGGCTCAAACAAGAATCCCGTTTGGAAAGGACGAGCAGATGAATTCTCATTACAGTGCTATTGTGAGGTTATCCTTTGAAGAGATAAAAGATCTGACTTCTAATTTTGCACATCAGCTTGGTCCATCCATTTTCAAAGGTCTGCTCCCTAATAAGACCCCGGTTATTGCAAAGGTATTGAATGATGTTGTTGTGACAGAGAAGGAGTTCCGAGGAGTAGTTTCTATGTTGGGTGGGATGCACCATCGGAACCTTGTTCATCTCAAGGGCTTCTGCTTTGAGGGGAAACATAAATACCTATTGTATGAGTATGTTCCCAATGGCTCTTTGGACAAGTGGCTATTTGACACTGCACGGGAGCACGAAGTGGGGAACTGGCAACAGAGGCTTAATATTGCTATCGGAGTTGCACGAGCTCTCGCATATTTGCACTTGGAGTGTCAAACATGTGTAGCTCATGGAAATTTGAAGCTTGAGAATGTCTTGCTTGACGAAAATATGATTCCTAAAGTTGCAGATTTTGGACTTAGGAGGCTACTCAGAAAGGACACCGCCTCGTCTTCAGAGACTCCATCTGAAAGAGACATCCACATGTTTGGGGAGATGTTACTGCAGATTGTGACCTGCCAGCGAAATATTCTGGATACCACTCTGCAGCAATTAGTTAACGGGAACAACGACGAACTGCAAATAGAATTAAGATCGGAGTCATGTAAAGAGTTTGAAGAAGTAGAAAGAGCAGTAAGTATAGCTTTGTGGTGTATGCAAAGCCAACCGTTCTTACGACCTTCCATTACTGAAGTGGTTAAGGTATTAGAAGGTGCATTTTCCATCGATAGACCTCCTTTAGATTTTCGTTTTAGACAGGAGGAGCGAGTAGATATAGATTGATGTAACACTGAAAATGGAATAGGAAAAATTTAGGACTAACAATATGATGCTTGACATTTCAAGATCGTTTGAGATGTAGAATTGTATGGAGCTCAATATTTTGGCAAAATTAACCCTGGAAATGTATGAATCTTTTACAGTTTGTATCCTCTTCCAAAATTTCTAATAAAAAAGATGTTCTTTGTATGGATTTTCATTTTAAAATTCTTAAACGACATATTTCCATTTTCATTCTCATGCATTCGTTGATTTGTTGAGTTACTTTAGTTCAAACTTTTAATTAATGTTCGAGGCCTGTATTATTAGAATATAAATAATTGAGTGATGCTTAATTTTTTTACGATAATCAGTTTGACTAATTACTTAAGATGAAATCAATTACCCGAAACCCGAATCTTGGTAGTCCAACTTCCATCAAAAATTAACTTCTTCACAAGGTTTCATGGGATTGTGTATGATGTATTGATTTCATTGATCTTAAATTCCAAATACAAACAAACCAATTCCTTCCCACAAGCTCCTTTTGTTCAATTACCATTTTTTCTCTCTTGATACCTGGTTATACATATTTTTTAAATATATTTAAAATGTATTTTAATGAAAGTATAAAAATAAATTTATTTTATTACATAAATAAATAAATATATAATAATTATAACATAATTTCTTTTGTCTCTATGAACTCAAAGTAATTGTAAAACAGGAAAATGTTGGCAAGGCTTGTTGGAAAATTTGGAGCCGCAAGTTCTGTTTTTCTTTTTTCTTTCTTTCCAGTGGAATCTAATCCAGAATTTTCTTCTCACTCCATATCTTATCAAATCTAAGTAACCAATCTGACAGTGAAGACTCCCAGCCTCAAGTTTTCCTCTCTCATTTTTCTCTCTCTCTGTACTTGTTTCTGGGTTTTTCTAGCTGTGAAGGAGCATCAATTCTTGAACAAAAAAGGAGGGGGAGAAGAAGAAGAAGAAGAAGAAGCGCCATGGAAGGTCTTAGAGGATGTTCCATGGCGTCGTTTCGCATTCCACAAGAAAACAAAACCCAGTTGACTAAATCCATCTTGTTGGGTTCTCATTTTAACCAAGTACCCACGTCTTCATTTCACAAAAACAGATCAAAGCTCAAGGCTTTTACAGCCTTGTCATCATCCCCAGTTTCAACAGAGTTCTTGGACGGACTTGAGCCGGAACTTGTTGTGGCCGGTGATGAAGAGAACTTTGATTGGTACTCTCAGTGGTATCCTATTATGCCCGTGTGTGATTTGGACAAGAGGGTGCCCCATGCAAAGAGGGTATTGGGCATTGATGTGGTAGTATGGTGGGATAGGAATGAGAATGCATGGAAGGTGTTCGATGATAGTTGTCCTCACAGATTGGCTCCTTTGTCAGAGGGAAGGATTGATCAGTGGGGGAGGTTGCAGTGTGTGTATCATGGTTGGTGCTTTAATGGCTCTGGCGACTGCAAGTTCATCCCTCAAGCACCTCCAGATGGGCCGCCGGTAATTGAATCTTGTGGTTTGTTTTACAGTTTTCTTTCACTGATTCATGGAGATTGGTCACTGCTCTATTCTTCTAATTCAATCATTTCAACTGTTATAGAATTTGCAAGCTAAGTCTTAGCCATGATTTTGTTGGAAGTTAAAATTAAGAGTTCTGATTTCTTTTAGCTTGAATCCCAATACACTCAATCTCACAAAGTGCTGAACTTGAACTTGATTCTGTTTGAAAAGAAGGTTCTTTCATTATTGATTAATCTTGACGAAATAAAAAAGCATTATAAAAAGCCCCAGTATGACCAAATATTCATTGGATCTAGAGAAAATATCCTCCTCCTGATTGGCTGTATCTACTTTCTTTTATCTGATCAACAAGAAACAAATAATATTCCACCATTTACTTACTATTTGATATATTTTTGTTCTTTATTTTTTAATTTCTTTTGCTTTCTTATCCTCTAACATGAAAAGGATGGTGATTTATTTATTGGTCACTGCTCCCTGACCTCATCTGGATCACTTAACAGTGATTGGTACCGATATGTTGAGTGCAAAAACAGTAATCTGAACATGAGGATCTAACCACTTAGGATTCTCTAATTGCACTGTTCTTTGAATAAGAGAAAGGAATCGGGATATAAAAGATGTCAGTTACTGTTCTTGATAGTATTAGTAGAGCCTTTGAAAATTCTCCATCCATTAAACATTGGTTTTTATATTTTAAGTTAATCTTTGTAGGAACAAAATGTTTTTTTCTTTAAGAAATGAGGAATTCCTTAATTACTAACTAATTTTGGGATTGAGTAATAGATTGTATATATCATAGTCAAATGCTAATATCAGTATAGCTAATCTCTTGGTGGTTATTGTGCATGTCAATACCATGAAAATCCATCATGAGTCATTCAGTCCTATCATTTTAATTGAACCAAAATTTTAGCGAGGTTTATTTTTTCACTCTCACTTGATGCTATGGAATTAAAAATCTATGTTAAGTAGATTCTTGCACTTTCTCACAACATGTGATCTTTTTAATAACCTCACCAACTAATCCTGCAGGTGCATACTTCCAAGAAAGCATGTGTGGCTGTTTATCCTACTACTTTGCAGCATGATATTCTATGGTTTTGGCCTAACACTGATCCTCAATACAAAGATATTATCACAAAGAAAAAGCCCCCATACATCCCAGAACTAGATGACCCCTCGTTTACTAAGATGATGAATAATAGAGATCTCCCTTATGGGTATGCAAAGAGAATCTGATCCTCACATAATTTTTTTCTTTCTCAATTAAAATTGTTCAATAACATGTCTTAAGTATCTTAATGCAGGTCCTTTTTCTGTTCAGAGTCAAAGATCTTTTTAGCACATGCAATGTTTCTTTAGAACACCCTGAACATATTTGTTTGGTTAAATTTCTTCTAAAAAGGGAATTTCCATTGCCTGAATTATTGGCATATATTATTCTCTTTAACAGCAAAAGTTTGCCCAAGTCCTGTAGGAAAGATTAACTCACTTTTCTATCTGGTAATTTATCTCTTGAATTTTCAGGTATGATGTATTGATTGAAAATCTTATGGACCCTGCTCATGTCCCATATACACATTACGGACTAATGAATTTTCCTAAACCTAAAGGCGAGTAGAAACTTCCAGATAAACCTTTTGTTTTGGTCATTTAGATTTCTTTCTTTACACAGAAAATTCATACAGTTAACACTAGAGGTTCATTTCCAGAGAAGGCTGACAGAGAAGGCGGCCAACCACTTGAAATAAGTGTTAAGAAACTAGGTGTGAATGGTTTCATAGCAAAGCAGGGTTGGGGCTCTGCAAAGTTTACGGCACCTTGTGTCTATCATGTTTCTTCTGACCCTTTTCCAGACAAAGAAAATGGTTCTGTAACATCGGATGGAGTTGAAAAGGTGATTTATCAAATGTACACTGTTACACCTAGATAATCATTTATGTACTTCTGTGCTACTGTTCCTTTTCCCTATTTCTTATGTTTGTATTTCTCACTTCAGGTACCACCAGCAAAACGGAGAATATCTTTAATCTTTATTTGTGTTCCAGTGAGTCCAGGTAATAGCAGATTGATCTGGTGCTTTCCTAGAAACTTTTCGGTTTGGATTGAGAAGATAGTACCACGATGGCTGTTTCATATTAGAAGTAACCTGGTGCTGGATTCAGATTTGTATCTTCTTCATGTTGAGGTGATTTATATTCCTTTTCCAAGATAATTTCCCATTTGGATTGTTGACCTTGATTTGGCTGTTCTCCTCATTTTCATGCATTAAGTGATATTACCAGTAGTTTTCCTGCCTATCCTCATCCTATTGCATCAATGTACCTTATCTTATGACTCCACAATTACACTTTATGTTGAGTTGTGGCTCATATTCTGATGATTTTCTGTTCACAACTAGGTTCCTTAAAGGGAGGATTTATGGTACTAGAGAGGTTTTTATTTTTTTGTCCCAATTGTTCATGTCATTCAACCTTCCTGTTCCTATCTACAGGAACGTAAGATAAGGGAAGTAGGCCTTGCCAATTGGCAGAAAGCTTGCTTTTTACCAACAAAGTCAGATGCCATGGTGGTTGGTTTCAGAAGGTGGTTCAACAAGTATTCAGGCAGTCAAGTTGATTGGAGAGGCAAATTCGGTGGAGATCTCCCACCGACGCCTGTCAGAGAACAGTTGATGGACAGGTATGTCGAGCATGACTACAGATTGTGTTTACTCTTCAGTAAAGCAGACAATTGAAATATATTTCTATGAGTTTTGAACAGTCATCGTTTTAGCTCTATAAATATATGAAAGCGAAAAAGATAAGCTCCGGATGAGTTTAGCTGGTCATTTAAGAGGTATGTTTTTCGGGTTTTACAGAGGCAAAGAGAGAATAAGAGAGAAACCAAGAGGAAGAGATGGAGAATCAGAGAGAAAAAGATTGAAAATTTGAGGGAGATTGTGAAAATGTTCTTCAAATAATTCATTCATTGATGCTTACATCTCCAAAAAATTAGATTATATACAAGAAAATGACTAAAAATACTCTGAATCTACCGTTCCTGGAAAACCCGAGGGTCGCTCAGTCCCGGAAACCCGAAAGCCATCCATGAAGAAACTCATTCTGTCAACTCCTAAACCCTAAACGTGCCAGTTTAAATATTCCTACAGATTGCCGTCCATGTGTCCTCTCCATGATTCCCCAGATGTATCTCTATTTTTTAAACAGTAAACCCTTACCATACCAGTGTTACCCTGTCTATTTTCTCCTAATTGCACTGGGTCCTTCCAGGTTCTTCTGTTTGACACTAGGATTTGCAGATGAGGAAGAACTCGGATACATTCTTTACGTCCTTTTCTTAGTTTGTTTGCTTCAATCTCAAAACTACTATATTAATTGCATATGAGTGTTTAGATCAAAAGTAGAGGCCAATCTTTGTCAATGATTGAACTCAACTGTTTGCAGATACTGGTCCCATGTGGTGAATTGTAGCAGTTGCCGTGCTGCGTACAAGGTCCTCAACATACTCGAGGTCATGTTGCAGGTCTTCTCCATTGTTTCAATAGGGATTGTTGCTGCATCGAAGCAGAGTCTGATGTCTGCAGCTGCAAGAACCACAGTTGTCTCGGTGGCAGTAATATCTTTTGCGGCTTCCAGATGGTTGGCGCATTTCATCTACAGAACTTTTCGTTATCATGACTACAACCATGCCCTTATCTGAGATTGTGTTTAACCAGCCACTTGGAACTGAAATTACAGTTCCAGGAGGCGTAAATATGACAAAATGGTTATCCGAGGTATATACATCAATGTAATTCACAAGTACCAAAGTAAATAGAGGTTTCTTCTCAGAACTATATATATATATATATCATTTTTTATAATTTTAGTTTAATAAAAAGTGAGCAACAAATGTTTCTTTCTGTTTATGGCAACGAGGGCAAGTCTAGTGAAAGGATTCATGCTTCTTATCAGACTAATAGAGAAGAGAGTGACAGTGTTTAGGCCTCTCTCCTGGAGGAGAAGTCGAGAAGATGTTACTAGGGCAGAAGGTAAATCAAAACAACGGAAGCTTTTGCTGACAAGAAGTTAGAAGCATTCAGCAAGTTCTCTGTTAATCTTAGGCAGGGAGAACTCGTGTCATGTTACTTCAGACAAAAAAGAAAGCTAGTGTGTCTATATAACTAAGATAACTTCATTTCTGATGGGCGTTCCACCCTGAATTCCTTTATCAGTAATCCAAATCAGGTTACTTATATCCAAAGACCATGATAATTACGTGCGTGATGGTAAGAAGTTTCTACGAGCTGTTGCTTCGACAGTTTTGGTGATAGCATAGAGTTTTCTGTCTGTTCAAATATTTCCCTTTTGGTGTTTATTGTAGATTGAAAGTAATGCTTAAACAAGAATCTTGTTCAGAATGGATGAGCAGATGAATTATCATACAATGCCATTGTTAGGTTATTTGAGGTTAATTACCATAAAGGATTTCCGGGGGGGGGCAATTTCTGCTCCTGTAGTCAACAAGGCCTAATTACATGTGGAGTGTCGAGTATGTGTAGCTGATTCAATTTTGAAGCTTGAGAATATCTTCTTGTTTGACAATGTGATCCCCAAGGTTGCAGAACTTTGAGCTTGGGAGCTCACTTGGAGAGGAAGCAGACTCCTTTTCGGAGACTTTATTGGGAAGAGCTATTTATGTGTTTGGAGAGATGTGACTGCAGATTACGACATGCCAGATTACCATTCTTGATAACATTCTGCACTGTTTTAAGTTAATGAGACCAGTGAAGAACTAAATTTGGAGACATAGGAAGAATCTGAATTAGTAGAAAATCAGTGAGGATAGCTTTGTTGTTCATGCAAAGCCAACTGTTCATACCATCTCCTGGGTTGAAGAGGTGAAAGCAATTAAAAACATTAACCATTTGAAAATATTAACAAATTCAATCTGAAAAAATGATTTGGGTTGATCGAGGTATTTTCTTTAGAGGGACTTTTAGCCCATATGTGGGAAATGGGAATTAAAAAGTAGTGGTTGAAGTCTGAAAGTCGAGCAAGAAGTACGGGAAAAGACGAATACTTTTGTGAATGAAGACAAAAGTTCATGGTTCCTCCATCTCTCTATTAACGAACAGAAAAACATATATTTGACTGTTGGATGATTTGGAGCCACAAGGTTTCGTTTCTTCTGGTTAATCAAGATTTTTGTACTCTTACCATGCATTCTATTATCAATTCGACACCGAACACTCTCAACCTCAAAGTTTCATTCTTTCATCTTCCTTTCTCTCTCCGTGTTTTTTATCTGGAAAAAAGCAGTCTTCTCGAGGCTGTTCTGGTTTTTGTAGGATTCTTAAGTCCTTCCGGTCGAAGTTGCCATGGAAGCTCTCAGAAGTTGTTCTCTGGCATCGGTTCACATACCACCAGTAAACAAAACCCAGTTGGCTAAACCCATGTTTGTGGGTTTTCAGATTAACCTAGTACCCACTTCATTTCAGAAGAATAGATCAAAGTTCAAGGCGTTCGCAGCCTTGTCATCATCCCCAAATACAACAGAGTCGATGGAGAGAGCTGATATGGAGCTGAAGGTGAACAGTGATGGAGAGAAGTTTGATTGGTACTCTCACTGGTATCCTATTATGCCCGAGTGTGATTTGGACAAGAGGGTGCCACATGCTAAGAAAGTGTTGGGCATTGATGTAGTGGTGTGGTGGGATAGGAATGAGAGTGCATGGAAGGTGTTTGATGATAGTTGTCCTCACAGGTTGGCTCCTTTGTCAGAAGGAAGGATTGATCAGTCGGGAAGGTTGCAGTGTGTGTATCATGGTTGGTGCTTTAATGGATCCGGTGACTGTAAGTTCATCCCTCAGGCACCACCTGATGGGCCGCCGGTAATTGAATCTTGCGATTTGTTTTGTAGTTTTCTTTCACTATATCTGGGGATTGATCACTCTTCTATTCTTCTAATTCAACCATTTCAACTATTATAGATTTTGCAAGCTAAACTATTGGACATGATTTTTTTTTTGAAGTTAAAATGAATCTATTGTAACCCATGATTGTGCTTTTTTTTTTAAAAAAAAAATAAGAATCCCAACACACCCAATCTCACAAAGTGCTTATGCTATTTTCCTTTCATCTCATCAACGAGAAACAAATTATATCCTTCCATATACTCCACAAATATACAGCTCCTTTCTTGAAGGGTGCTGAATTTTGTGGTTGAAGCATAACTCTAGGATCTTTAAGCAGCTTTTCCTCCTGCTCATCTCAAAGATTAATTTTCTAAGAAAAACAAAAAAGGATAAGAGGCGCTAAAGCATTTTAAGTTCGATTAGTAGATTTATTGTGTCATATTAGATGCATTTTGCATGAGTGCAACTCTCTTGATGACTATTCCATGAGTCCCTTTTACTTAATAACTTAAGGTTAAGTGAACTTTTATTTTACTATTGCTCTCATATGATTGGATTCTACATTCAGCCAGATTCTTGCACTTTCTTGTTCTTCAATAACTTCTTCCAACAATCATGCAGGTGCACACATTCAAGCAAGCAGGTGTAGCTGTTTATCCAAGTACTTTGCACCAAGGCGTTGTGTGGTTTTGGCCTAGCACTGATCCTCAATACAAAGATGTTATTACCAAGAAAAAGCCCCCTAGCATTCCAGAACTAGATGATCCCTCATTTACCATCTTGATGGGAAACAGAGATATCCCTTATGGGTATGCAACATGCTATCTGATTCTTATAGATACAAATTTCTGGTGATTGGACTGTGCATGATATATCTTTCGAATTTTATTTGGGACCATATTTTCTGTTTAGAGCCAATTGTCTCCTAAGCATAACTAATGGTTTTGATGTGGCCAGTGTATGGGTCGAACATAGATTTATCCTATCAAGACCTTGTCTTTCAAACATGTCTTACTTTAGAGGGAACTCAAGGAGATACCTCGACTTTAGTTGATGTGAGATAGAGAAAAAGAGAATAATTCCCAAACTGTGAATAATGATGTGTTGCTGACTATTAGACTCTTGCGAATATGCCAATAATATAACTGGAGCGGATCAAGGGCAAGAGAAAAAGACATTTTTTCCTGGAAGTTTTATTGTTTAGAAGGCGTTGAGAAAAGGAGAATTCTTGTAAGCTTAGGTGTACGGTCAACTCTATATGATGTAGCCCCTTAGTTGAGGAAATATATGTTATCATCTCTCAAAACTCGAGGTCTATGGACAAGCTGTTGACTGTTAAATTTTCCCCAAGTACACAAGTAATGGTTCTTTTAAGCTGAATTCACTTGGAGGATGATCTCCTCACTGATACGAGTTGTGGATAAAGAAATTTTTTATAAACTAACAGTTTCTTTGGGATGCAATAAATATACCATAGTGAAATTTCTTCTTCAAAAACAAGGATTTGTCTTCTGAATCACTGGCTTGAAGCTATTCTCTTTGAAACTAAAAGTTCTGTAAGAAAGATTAACTGTGAAGTAAATAATTCTTAATTTGCAGGTACGAAATTTTCTTAGAAAATCTTATGGACCCTGCACATGTTCCATATTCACACTATGGATTAATACAAACTGTGGCACACAAAGGCAAGTAGAAACTTGTAGATAAATATTTGATTCAGTTTTTTCCATTTCCTTTAGATACGAAATTCATATAGTTGGCATTCTGATACTAAAGCTTCATTTTCAGACAAGGCTGATAGAGAAGGAGGCAGACCACTTGATATAAGTGTTAAGAAATTAGATGTTAATGGCTTCTTTGCAAAGCAGGGCTTGATCACTGGAAAATTCACAGCACCTTGCGTCTATCATTATACTAATAACCCTGTATTGGACGAAGAAATTAGATCTGTAACATCTGCGGAAGATAAAAAGGTTAGGTATTAAGTACATATTCACATCAACAGATTTGTTGATATATTTATATAATTCTGCCTTTTCTTCTCCGGCCGCTTATGTTTGTATCTCTTAATTCAGGTATCATCACCACAACGGATATTTTCTTTAATTATTTTATGCGTTCCAGTTAGTCCAGGCAATTGTAGATTGATCTGGTGCTTCCCAAGAAACTTTGCGATTTGGATTGACAAGATTGTACCTCGATGGCTCTTTCATATAACGAATAACCTGATTCTTGATTCAGACATGTATCTTCTTCACCTTGAGGTGATTTTTTGATAGTCCTTTTACTGCTGTTTGTATGGATATTCTGATACCATATCAGCATACCAACAGGATGCCTGCTGTCAAATTTCAATGCAGCATTATAGTTTTGAGCCTGTTTGAATGACAAAACCATAAGATTTTGTTCGTTGCTGGTATTGCTGAATCTTTTTACTTTCTACCTGTAGGAGCGTAAGATAGAGGAAGTCGGCGCTGCCAATTGGCAGAAAGCTTGTTTTGTGCCAACAAAGTCAGATGCCATGGTGGTCAGTTTCAGAAGGTGGTTCAACAAGTATGGAGGCGGTCAAGTTGATTGGAGGGCCAAGTTTAGCGGAGCTCTCCCGCCAACACCTCCCAGAGAACAACTGTTGGACAGGTAACTCGAGTATGACTACGATGGCTCAATGAAGCAGATAACAGAAACGATGACAGTAGATATTGTTAAATAATACGTTATAATCAATTTTTCTAAAAACTCATGTGCAAATGGGATTACATGCTAATTAGACCCAACTATGAACTATAGGATACAGATATTAACAGAATTCAATTATGAGCTGGAGTAGTAAAGACAAATAAGTAAGAAAAACCTACAAGAGCCTGATTTCATGATTCATGGTAAATGAATCTGCTTGGCTCTACACTTGCAGGATTGTAGAACCTTAGATTCTCTTGTTACTCTTTCAGTTTGTCAACCGTAATCTCCCAACCATCTCGTGACTTGTCTAGGACTGTTTTGAAATCACAACAAACACTGCACACATCACTCGAACTAAGAAATTTCAGTAGAATTTGTCGGTAATCTTTGCAGGTACTGGACTCACGTGGTGAACTGTCGAAGTTGTAATGGCGCTTACAAGGTCCTGAATGCAGTCGAGGTCACGTTGCAGGTCCTCTCGATCGTTTCAATCGGAGTAGTTGCTGCAACAAAGCAAAATCTGATGTCTGCAGCTGGAAGAACTGCAATGGTCTTAATTGCAGTGATATGTTTTGCAGCTTCAAGATGGTTGGCACATTTCATCCACAAAAACTTCCATTACCATGGCTATAATCATGCCCTTGTCTGAGTTCAGTTGTTTTAAACAGATGCCATAGTTGCAGGCAGTGTAAATATTAGTAAATGGTTGTTTGAAAAAGAACATAATATATGTATATATATATATTGGTGTGACTCAGAAGATACCTTCATGCCAGTTTTGCTGGGACTGTAAATATGATAATTAAGCATATATTTTTTAAGTGGAGTGAATAAATTAAGAAAATAATTTAAATATTAATTTATCCTATACTCTCTTGAATGAATATATACATATATATATACACACACACACACACACATATTTATAATGAAAAATTTTATAAAATAAAAATAATTTCTTTAATTTTGTTTGATTAATATAAAAAAAATAATTTTATAAATATAATTCTTCTGTTTAAGATTAAAAATTAAAAATTTAAAAAATAATTATAGATTTTTTTTTCCTTGTTTTAGATGTTTATTGTTTATATTTGTATGAATTAAATAAATTAAATTATTTATCTTTTTTTTAATATTATTAAAATTATTCTTTAGTTATAAGTTTTGAACTTTATATAAAATAAAATATGTTATTTATAATTTTTTATTAAAAACAAAAATTGAAATAATTTGATAAATTAAAAAAAATATGGGCCGCACGATCCGGCTACTAAAATCGGGCAACTAGTTTGACTCGTTGATGCTGTCACGAGGTGGGCCCGACCAGTAGGATGTCCAAATCTACCGACGCTGACGTGGCACCAAAGATCAGAGCGAGCTGTCAACAACTCACTAGGAGTGTAGACGAAGGTTTTCTTCCAGCCAAAGGTTTAACCTTTACGATTTTGCTGTTTGTTACTTTTCAATTTCCCAAATTCAATTGCAAAAAATCACTCGTTAATCCGGATTAGGTTTGCAAAATTATTGTCAGGTGTCTGTTAGTCCTCCATTGTTGCTTTCTTACGCCAGCGCAAGCTCTGGATCTGGTGAGTGATACCCTAATCCCTCTGTCTTTCTCTCCGTTTGTTTCTTTCCATTTCAAGGTTCACTCCGATTCCCATTAGTTTTCTCTCGTTTTCTGGGCGACCAATCAGCTTTCTTTTTTAGTTTACTGCAAGATCCGGTTGAGTTGTGGTCATGGAAGTGAGGAACCCATGAAAGAATTAAGTCAAATGTGAGTGAACATTAACTCGAGTTTCTTTGACTTGTTTGAATTTTTTTCTTGTTTCTGGTTCTCCTCTGACCCAAAGCTACTGTTTTCTGCGTTGATCTGGAGATCTAATTGGATCTGATAACTGGGTTTTCCACATTGTAGAAAACCCATGAAGGAATCCGATTTAAGCACTGAGCCAATAGGGCAAAACATCATAAAACTGATAAGCAATCTGTGTTTCTCAGTGTTTGTGTTCTCAGTGCTGATATTTACTGTAATTGCCATCACCTATCAACCCCCAGATCCCTGGCTGGAATCAGCTCCAGCTATTACGAAGCTTCTGACTCAATCTGAAAATGCCACCTTCAAGAATGACAATTCTATCCTCAAAACTGGTGAGGATTTACAGTTGGTGCCTGCCCCGGCAGTGCCGCCGGCCCTGGCCGTGATTCCAATTACTGAAACAGTGATTGAGAAATCAGAAGAGAATATCGGTAATTTGTCCCTATGGTCCTCAGACTGTGAGGAGTTAAGGGTTGTTAATTGTTCGGACCCGCGAGTTCTGATTGCAGTTGAGAAGTTTAATTTGAAAATTTTCAAGTCTATTGTGTTTTTGGAGTATCAAACTCCAGTTAATGGTTCGAAGCCAGATGAGTGTGATGTGGCTTGGAGGTTTAGGAACAAAAAGGAGAAGTCCTGGAGGCGGTATAGGGATTTTAGGAGGTTTAAGTTTGGATTTGGAGAAAATTGTACCTATAAAGTGGTGTTTGCCAGTGGATGGCATACAGGTGTCAATGCTCGGCGACCTAGGATGAACTCTACAAAAACCGGTGGACATGCCAAGATTGCTCCACCAATTCCTGATCCCGAGATCAATGACACAATCCCAAGTTTGGGATCAGAAATGAACTTTAGAAAGGGAAGGTACTTGTATTACTCTCGTGGTGGTGATTACTGCAAGGGAATGAATCATTATCTATGGAGTTACTTGTGTGGCTTGGGGGAGGCTATTTATTTGAATCGGACATTTGTGATGGATTTGAGTGTATGCTTGTCTGCTACCTACAATCCAAGCAATAAGGATGAGGATGGAAAGGATTTCAGATTTTATTTTGATTTTGAACATCTTAAGGAAGTCGTACCAATTGTGGAGGACCGTGAGTTCTTGAGAGATTGGAAGAAGTGGGATCGGACCCATAAAAGGAAAGTACCAGTTAAGAAGGTTAAGACTTATAAGGTGACGCCAATGCAACTTATGAAGGATAAAAGCACGATTTTATGGAGGCAGTTTGATGCTCCTGAGCCTGATAACTATTGGTATAGAGTGTGTGAAGGGGAAGCAGCAAAGTACATCCAAAGGCCATGGCATGCACTGTGGAAATCTAAGAGGTTGATGAATATAGTTTCAGAGATTAGTGGAAGAATGGACTGGGATTTTGATGCAGTTCATGTGGTTAGAGGAGAGAAGGCACAGAACAAGGAGCTTTGGCCACATTTGGATGCTGATACATCACCAGATGCACTCCTAGCGAAGCTTAAAGAAATTATCCAGCCTTGGAGGAATTTATACATTGCCACAAATGAACCATTCTATAATTATTTTGATAAACTGAGATCTCAGTACAAGGTTCACTTGCTTGAAGACTACAAGGAATTATGGAGTAATACAAGTGAGTGGTACAATGAGACAATGCTTCTAAACAATGGAAGGCCAGTTGAGTTTGATGGATACATGAGAGTTGCTGTGGATACTGAGGTCCTCTACAGGGCAAAGACACGAGTAGAAACATTTTATAATTTGACCAAGGACTGCAAGGATGGTGTTAATACTTGCTGACCAGGTTGGGGGTACTTCTTGTTTCTTTGTTCCATAAGTTTATTCATATATGTTGTTATGTCTTACTCTATTGATTCAGTTAGAAATGATGCTGTTGAGCTCATCTCAGGCACATACTGATATACTTCTTTTCTGTCTTCTGTTAATGATTAAAATCTTTGTGGATCAACGAAAGCCTCTATTTGTAAAATATGGTAAACAGCAATTTTTCAAGGTTTTCATATAAATGAATTTTCTTTTTAGTAGCTTTATACTCTTGGTTTTCGACTTCATATTTTAGGGAACTAACAATGAACCATACTCGTCTTTATAGATCTTTAGGATTAGGAGCGTTCCCTAAAGGTCATATTGGCTATATGATCTTTCATATATTGATTGAAAGACAGAGAGCAATCTTGGTTGTCCATTTAGGGGAGTGTTCAAGCTTTCGTTCTCTTTCTTTTTTCTCTTTGAATAGGAGTAGCAGTTCTAGAAGTAGGAACTTGAGTATTATAGAGGTATCTCTTCAAGCACCGCACCCTTAAGTATTTGACTGCAATTTATATAAGTATCCAAATAAGCATACATGATTGTTAGTGTTAATCGCACCAAGCATTATTCCTGCAGAAGCAAGTAAATAAAGCATACCAAACATTATAGATGGTTTACCTGGTAGTAGCTTGAGGGATGTGAATTTTTTTCGTTAAACCAAACTAACCAACCAAATTGATGAAAATTTGGAAGTTCTGTTTGTTATTCAGTCATTTCTGTTTGACTCAGAAGATAATAGGCAATTTGGTTTTATAGGTTTGGAAAAATAGCCAAACCAAGTGATGTATAATAGCATGTCATCAGAATGGTCACTTGGTGGCCTCTTGAATCCGATGTTGGAGGCTGCAATTACATTTATGTAAGTTGCTATATAGGTGGACTTTCTTTTAAAAAAAATAGATTGGTTTTTTTTTTAATAAAAATAGTATAGTAAGATTCATTCACAAGTATTAAGGGGATTGTATGTGCAAAAATATTTACATATTGATCAATATGCCAATTTTTTTGAAATAGATCGATATGTCAATAAGGTCCCTAAGAACATCCAATGAATAAAGAGAATGACTTGTAATAAAAAAAATTCAAGGTTTGAAACCATCTATTTTTAACCCTTTCAGAAGCATTTTCTGCCCGCTCAAATGCTCTTATGTTTCTCTTTTTCTACACTACCAAGAAAATAAAAAAGGAAGTGAGACTAAAATGTTCTTCACTCCACTAATACCCTTCCACGCCTAAATTTCTTTTCTCACCAAACCAGCCATCAGCCGATTGATGCCTAGTAGTAGTATACAAGTAAGGGTCCACAATTTGTACACAAACAAACACCACAAATGGATGTGATTGCATGATCTACCTCCCTTTTGCATAAAAAATCACTCATTCTCCTACATTTTCTTTCTCCCGATCAACTAGTCGAAAGTAAGAATACACCATCGGCCTGCCTACCACGCAAAGTAAGCAACTTTAGGTGGAATATTAACCTTCTAGATTTACCGATAGGAAAAACTGGTGTTGTGACATCACTTTTAATAAAATGTTTGTAGAAAGATCCGATGGAAAAAAACCTTTTAGCATTAGTAAGGGTACAGAGGACAATCTAATTATCTTTAATTTCTCAGTCATTGGAGGTTTCTTATAACTTCTATATCTCATTCACTTTCCCCCTAATGCCACTATAGAACTCATGAATTAGCACATTCTTATACCGCACAGTAGCATATATCTAAGGGAATTGTTCTCTGAGTGACCTCCCCTTTAACCAGGCATCATGCCAGAAGCTAATCTTGTCCCTAGTGCCAACACTCCAGCTGATACAATTCTAGGATTTATTCTTGTACATGTATATTTTTTTCCACATTCTCTTCGTAGGGGTTCTAGGTGAGAGCCTGGTCTACCATCATTTATCCACGGTCCCAAACTTCCCTCTCCTAGAGACTACCATTTTCATTAATGAATCTCCAAAGTCATTTCCTCTATAAAACTACATCTACCTCCACCAAAGATTTCAAGCCCAACCCTTGCTGACACATAGGCTTTTTAACTCATCCCATGCCACCATGTAAAACTTTTTCCTATCTTTCGTATCATCCTATAAGAATTTAAATTGAATTGATTTCAGTCTTTTGGTTACACTCGCAGGAATTGTCAATAGGCACATATAATAAATGGGTATATTAGCCATTGTTTTTTTGTAAGTGAATCTCCCCCCTTTAGATAGGGGTTTCTCTCCATCCGATCAATCTCTTCTTGAACCCTGCCACCATAGGGTATCCCCAGGTATTTGATTGGCAAATCCACACTTCAACACCCCAAAATCCTTGCCAGCTTGGTAGCATTCTTCCCAAGCCTTAGTCTCACCAATTCAAACTTGGTTCGGTTGATATTGTGTACAGACACCACTTGATAGCTCAGCAAAAATGCATCTAAGTTAAGTTGGGCCCTCTCATCCAATTCGCGAAATAAGTGTCATCAGCAAAAAAAAAATGGTGAATGCCTCCTCCATATGCTCACCTTCACCCATCTTTAATCTCTCATATATCTCCAACTCTCTAGCCTGAATAACAGTTTCTTGAGAGCTTCCATAAATGATAAATAGAAGAGGGGACAAGGGATCACCTTGTCTAAGACCTCAAGAGAACAACAGTTTGTGGAAAAGAGTTGTTGACTGCAAATGGAACCAGAACGGCAGATGGAATCAAAAAATGCTGGACCACAGCAAGCATGGGATGAGTTTACGGAAGGGCATCTCTTTAGCTAACAAATCGGTTCTTGATTGCTCCAAATGGGTGGTGGGTAGAGAGGTAATACAAACCTGAAAACACGTTTCCCTCAAATCTATGCTCTATCGAAGGATAAGCACATGCTTATTGAGGAAGCTTTTGACAGAAATAATGGTATGGGTTGGAATGTGGTGATTAGCAGAAATTTGCAAGATTGAGAAGTGGAGGAATATGAGCTTCTGCTAGTTTTATTAGAGAACATGCAGCTTAACAACGATGAAGACAAACTGTCTTGGTCGTCTGAAAATAGCGGTCCTTCAGTGTCAAATCCTTCTACAATCATTTTGCTGGCCATAACAGTATGAACCGAGGGGATTTTCCTGCTAAAATGGCTTGGATGACAAAAGCCCCAACCAAAATTTCTTTTTTCGCTTGGGAAGCATCCAAAGAATACATCCTAACCATTGATAACCTCACAAAAAGAGGCATTACTCTAACTAACAGATGTTTCCTCTGCAAGCATAACTCCGAAACCAACAACCACCTTCTGCTGTGGTGTCCCACAACTTATTTGGCATTTGCTGGGTAATGGCTGGTTCTGTAAAAGATGAACTGTTCGCCTGGGAAGTTGTGTGTAAGAAGAACAAGAAGCTCAAACTTATACCATCTACTATTTTCTGGGTAATTTGGAATGAAAGAAACAACAGAGCATGGCAAGGAAGAAATTTTTGGAAATATCTTGAACAAATGGCTCCACTTTTTTTGGTTCCGCTGTACTGGAACATAACATTAACCATTTTGACGATTTAGGGTCAATTGTAGATTATTGACTGGTAAATTTTTTGTACATCAGCAGCGCTCCCTTGGCGCCTTCACATCAATATATTTTCTATACTTTTGTCTAAAAAAATAAAGACCTCTAGAGGCATTGAAAGACAAAGGCAGACCCATTCACCATAACTGCAACAGAAATTTTAGAAAAACATAAGTTGATTCATTTGCACCATTTGTCCCCGAAGCCTAGTCACCTCAACATATAATCAAGAAAGGCTAATTTACATGATTATAGGCTTTCTCTATGTCCAGCTTGCATAAAACACCCTCTTTATTTTTGTGAAGTGGATCATCCACAATTTTATTGGTGACAAGGGCTGCATTCAGAATCTGTTTGCCTCCTGCAAAAGCATACTGACACTCTTCCACCACCTTACTCTTCACTTTCGCCATTCTCCTAACTGACACTCTTTCGCAATGAGTTTATAAACACACCCTACTAAATTGATATGTTTAAAATCTTTTATGTTTATTGTTCCCTCAACTTTAGGATAAGAACCAGGAAGGAGGAGTTTAAACATTTAACGAAAGACTCAGATTCATAAAACTCCTTAAAAAGCCCAATAATATCTTCTTTCATCACATGCCAAAATTTATGTAGAAAACTCATATTAAAACCATCAGGTCCAGAGGTTTTATCATTCTTATATTGCATGAGTTCCTCTAGAATCTTCTCCTCAATGAAATTTAGATCATGGTGTAACCTGCTAAAGAATCCCATAACTCCTTCCCTCAGTTGTTAATTACCCTTCACCAAACAGCCATCTATATCAATTTCCTCCACGTAATTGATTCTCCTATGATGATTTGCCATGCAGTTGAAGTTTTCCATCTCCCTTCTTTATCCATCTAACTACTGGATTTTGTCTCCATGAGACCTCCTCCATTTGCTTTCTACTTGCCAATTCAAGTTTGCTTGGAAGCCAAATCTTCAGTAGACAAACGTTCCTTATCCTCATTTAGATCTTTTGGTTACTATGTGAGGTATATTCATTTTACTTCTCAATTCTTTTGGTCAAATCTCAAACTCTTTGCTCACTCTAGTTAATCTTCCTATCCTTCTATTTCTACATTCATTTTTCTCACCCAAAATCCACAACCTGTCTTTGTATCTTCCTTTTCTCATTGTTCAATGCCAGCACGCTTGCCACCAGTCACAGCCGGAAGGCTCTTGCATCTTTGTTGTAGGCAATTTTCTGGTCTGGTTTAGCAGAGAAACACACATGGCAAACTCAGGGAGGGGGCACATGGTTGAATTACATTCAGTGAAGGAAAGTACACTCAGCAGATTAGATTATTCTGTTTTCTTCATTTCAGTTTTTTCTTGCTATATCTCAATCTTGTTTTTCCTATGGCTGTGAGCTTCGAGACAGTTTTATATGTAACAAGTCTATCATGTAGATGTTGTGGGTAGTTGGTTAATTCCTTAAACAAATTGCCAATGTCCTGGAAACTATCTAAATAATTTCTATATAAATGCTAAACGGATCTGAATAAGAAGTAAGCAGAAATTATTGTAGGGAAAAAAAAAAGTATCTGTTCTTTCTAACTTGGAGATTGAGGAGTTCTCTCATAACAAACCCTTAACAAGGAGGTTGGAGGATTCTCTATTAGCGAGTCATTATCATTAAGAGATTGAAGGCCTCTCGCTTAAGTCTTCCACAACAAACTCATAACTAGATTCATTTTAAGGAAATAACAATCTTGGAATATCCCTCTATGATGAAAACCTCCACTCATTGGAGCCTCAACCAAGAATGTGGAAATTACTGAGAGAAGGAGAGCAAAAGAAAGAAAAGCCTGGATGACGAGAGGTTGTAAGGATCAACGCGGCTGCTACCCTTCTGTCTCGTGTTATACTACTTTTGTTCATCCCAGACTGGTTGTAGATGTGATTCACTGTAATGTACTACAGTTGCTATGATAGTTGTGATGTGTCATGTATGATTCATTTTATGTAAAGTGACATTTGATTCTGGAGGAATTCTATGGCCGAATTTGCTAACTGATTTTATTGATTTGATTATCATTCAAATCAGTGTCACCTTTTACTTCAGTTGCATATATCTTGGCCAAACTAATGGAGTATAGATTACTCCTTAGTACTTTTTCTGCCAGAGGATGTGGTCAATATATTTTTTATTTTCTGCTAAAGATAATTTGACACAAGTCTAATGAATTTTAATATATGAATCATAGTTATTGTAATATATGTTACACTTTCCATGTTTACTCTTAAATGCAGTGCTAATCTGCTGCAAAATGAGCATGCAAATGGAAATATGGTCCAACGGCAGACTAGGTAAATTGAAATCAGAGAGTACTAGCCCTTGATTTCTGTTTATCAGTAACTGGAGTTCGGCTTCCAAAGCATAATCGAATTCGAATCTGTTAAGACTAGCAGTGTCAAATATCAGAGTCATCTTACAGAGCATCGGAGTGTATGGTTTTCTTTTCTTCCTTTGCCCATCCGGTGTCATCAATACTTATATAGATTATAGAGATAGTACAACAACAATTAAAATCCTTAAAATTCCTTTTCTGTTTGCTGGGATCTGAAGTGAGTTGAAAAAAAGAGACAGGTGCTATGAGTTTACTACATGGTTGTTTTCTTGTATATTCCAGCTTTGACTCGATGCTACTTGATCATGCAGGGGTATATATTCCTGCAGGAAGTGCACGTAAAATTGCCCCAGAAATTTGTTTCTTCTTCTTTTGTGAAAAAAGAAAATAGATCTTGAATTTGGTAAAAAGGAAAAACAAAGGAAAAAGAAGAGATAAAGAAAGTAGATAAGATACCTCCATTCTGTGTAAGAGTTCTCTGGCAGTATTTGCTGAGATGACAATATCTCTTGCAGGAGGCCTGATAAATCCTTCTTCTACACCTTTGTCGAATAATCCAAGCAAGCAATCATAATATCCGTCCACATTTAACAGACCCACCTGTTGTTTTGTTTCTCAAGTTCATCAAGATTCCAACTTTTTTAACATATATATATATATATATATATATTTGCATTACATCATGTTTGGATTGGTAGAAGTGAGGGAAAAAAGAAGCTTAATTTTTTCATTTCTTCAAATTATAATTTCAACCCAAACATACCCCCTCCCCCCCCCCCCCCCATCTTTATCTCTAAATAAAAAATAGTAGAAACCACAATAACAGTTTAATATATATATATATATATATAATAGTATGCAGTCACCAACTTCTTCTTCCCCACAAAAAAGTTAGGGAAACCAAAAGAAGAAAATGGTTGTGAAGTCAATTTCATGGCCAGATTTGTCTGGATTTTGGAAGGCTGTCAAGCTCAGAGAGAGGGACCAGAAAAGGAGACAGAGTTGAAGGTGGGATTGAAAATCTCAACTGTTGATTGGGAATTTTGATTAGCACCTTTATGCTTTCCATATCAACTTGTCTCAAAACGACAACACCACTACATGTAAAACGTCACCACCACTTCATACTCTCTCAGGCTTCTTTTTCCCCCCCTCTTTCCTCTAATCCCATGTGACTACTCCCCAAGTTAGGGTTTTGGTTTCACACATACATACATACATACATATATATATATATATATATGTTACCTATATGGCAATGCAGAAATTTTCTCATACTTTAATTGATAATACTAAGTTCAACTAGAATTTACAGAAAAAAATATATATATATATTTCTTAAAAGTAATGAAACTTTACATGTGATTGAAACAGTAAATTTCATATTAAATGTGTTGCTTTAATTATATATAATATTTTAATCAGATTTTTTATTTTTACGTTCGAATTTATAAATAAATTTTGAAGAAATAATTATTATTATTTTCAAATATATATGTATTTATATATAGATATAGTAGAGATTTTTGATAATTGATTGAGGAAGTGGTGACTTGTCAAAGAATATATGTGTGTATGTATAGATATGTATATATATATATATATATATGTATTACGCGTGTTGAATTCTGTATGTGTTTGTGTTTGTAGGTTTGAAGTATATATTCAGAAATATTGTGGTGCAAGTATCTGTTAAAGATGTATGTAAAGTATAGGCACATGTCAAGTGTTAAGTAAACGAAGCATTCAACTAATTTGATATTATATATATATATATATATAGATATAGATATATGTGTGTGTGTGTGTGTGTGTGTGTGTATGGCAGCCTGCTTCTTTTCTGTAAGGAAATATAGTAGAGAGTTCTAAAGATGGGGGGAAAAGATGAATATATAGATACAAGACATGTATATATATAGGACTAACATTTAATTCAAACATGCATGCACTTGGTCTATGCATGTAAAAGCTATAATACACAATATGTTTAAACATATATAAATGCATAACTTATATAATATACATATATATATATATATATAATCATAAAAGGTGAATTTACAGCCTGCACCAGCTACTACTAATATCAATTATATATATAGTTAACACAGTCTTGTATGATCTAATGGTTTCATATTTCTCCTAAAAAGAATGGTTATTGAAGAGGTCAAACCTAATTAGTGTTTACCAGGCATATATATATATATATATACATATGTATATATATATATAATAGTGGAGGGGGTTAGAGTCATTATAAACACACAAAACCCAAGCATATGTAATTTACAAATGGGTTTTACCAGGTAGGTAATTAGGAGAAAATCAATCAATATATGCATATATATATATATATGAATATATACATATATATATATGTCATCATCTAATAATAATGGTAATTATAGCAATCATACCATCAGGTTAGACGGCCACTTTGATTTAATTAATAATTATCTACCATTCAAAGTTCTATACTTTTGATGATTTCATCAATATAATATATATAATCCAGAAACAAACATATATATATATATATGTATGTATATATATCTTAGTATTAAAGGAAACTTACTGGTTTATGATGGATTCCAAGCTGAGACCATGTTATCATTTCAAGCAGCTCTTCCATGGTTCCATACCCTCCTTTCAAGAAACCAATAATTTAATTAAAGATCAAAATTATGTTAGTTAAAACTCATAATCTGATCGTCAACAATATATATATATATATAGCTTATATAACCTCATTAATACACATCTCTCTCTCTCTCTCTCTCTCTATATATATATATATATATATATATGTCAAAATTAATGATCTTGTACATTAAGCTCATTAAAATTAATTAGCTACAAGCAAGATTGTTTAGTGAGTATAAAAATAGCTGTATGTGTGTGTGTGTGTATATATAATTGGACATGTATGTATATATATATATATATATATATATATATATATATACCTGGAAGTGCAACAAAAGCATCAGCCCGACGAGCCATCTCTGCCTTTCTTTCGTGCATGTCTGATACTATCAACACTTCGCCTACTGCATGGCCTGTTATCTGATAGTAATTAACCATCAACATATATATATATATAGATGTATATATACACACACATATGTACTGAAGAGGAAAGAAAGAAACGGAGGAGAGATCAAGTTTAAATATAATATACCTCAACTGAAACAAGAGCTGTTGGGATAATTCTGGTCAAGAAAATACAAATTAAATGAATCAAAATCATTAATTAATCAAATATTTTCGCTTAATTAAATGATTAATACATCATGTGTAATTCTGTAATATAATATACATATAATCATCTTTCTGGGTGGGTACATACACACACACACACATATATATATATATATAAAGCTAATGTTTTAGAGGAAGCTAAGTATATAGACCTAATTAACAACGATAGAATTAGAGAGCTGGCAGCGTTCGAGTTCTTCCACAAATTAAGAATATATAGATCAATACATAAATATATATATATATATATAATATGGTACTGATCGTATCAATAATTGAGCAAGTTGTGGTTTTGAAATTCTCATGAATAATGTTCCTTCTTTAATTGATTTCTTAATCTGTTCCCATATTCCCTCATTACATTATTAGTTAATTATATATATATATATATGTACATATGTACGACTGTATCTTAATTAGGTCTTACCCAAGAACACGGCATCCTCCATCAAAAACCGTCTGAGAAACCAGACCCATCAACCCAACACTCCCTCCTCCATACACCAAATCCATTTCCCTCTCCACCTGCAAAGGCAAAGCCAGTATATACGCATACACGCACATGGACATAGATATTCAAACCCTAATTGTACTTATATAAGCAAGAAATCAAAGAGACGGAGGAGTACAAACCAGTTGTTTGCCAAGATCAAGAGCTGCATCGCTGAAAATCTTTCTATTTCCAGAGTTACTTCCACAAAACACACAAACCCTCTTGAACTTACCCATCTTCTCTCCTTCTTTCTCTCTCTCTCTCTCTCTCTCTCTCTCTCTCTCTCTCTCTCTCTCTCTCTTTGTTTCTCCCCTGAAAAATCAACTTGTAAAGTTTCAGTATATAATACAAGCAAGAAGTCCTCTTAAAAGCTCTCCAGATTAATATACTATATTCTGTACACACACACACACACACACACACACACATATATATATATACACACGCGCGTATATTTTATAATTTTTAATCATATATAGGTGGATTTCTAAAAGGTAACTTAATGAGTAGTCAAATGTCCAACCATGACTTGATATATACTTAGTCATCATAAGATTATGTTAAATATAACTTTTGATATTTGTGTTTCTTTTTATAATTACTAAATTCTAACAAGCTTTTTGCAACACTAATTATAAATTTTTGATATTATAAGAATGAAAAATCCTCCAATTTCGACCCAAAATTCATTGAAGAAGAGGTTTTTGTTTGTAAATTTCAAGTTAATTGAAGTCTAAGATGGATTTAATAATTATGGAGCTAATTATTTTTTATCTTTTATAAAAAAAAAATTACTTTTTGAAATTTGAAAAAATTAAAAGATTGTGTATTGAATGCGTGAGATAAAATATATTATATATTATTTATTAGTACGGTACACATAAACTTATCATATGTCGTACGTATGTGTTTAATGCCTGATAAAATATCTCGTCAAATTTTGAAATATCACGAACTACACCGTAATCAAAATAGTAACACTTATTTCGGAGTAATTGACGCGATCACTATAATCTTACTTGCAAGTAGTATAATCTTTTATAAAATTAATTGTTAAGTATATATATATATATATAAGAAGGTTGTTCCCAATAGGAAACCCTAGGTAGGTAAAAGAAAATCTTCTTGACATGCACTTAATCTCCTAAGTCCATTACAGTGAAGAATTATCTCCCAAGCTGACAAGGGAGATAATGTTGTTCATGAAATTCCCTCAACCCAGAAATCACTTGGAACCATTTAAACAATTCTCTTGGTTACTGTAAATTTTCTCAAGAAAATTGAAGGAGGTTGAGCCCCCAAGATTCATAAAGCCCATGTCAAACCTTCAGCAATAATGTTGAAAGGGAAAGAAAACCAAAGTGGGTTCTTTGTACATATAGACAAAAGATATGTATATACATATATATAGATATAGATATATAGTGATGGGTATATGTATAATGTATGATAAGTAGATGTAGGGACTCGCATGACACGTGAGGGATGATGGTTATGATGGGTCATACAAGATGAACAATAATGCAAAACAAGTTTTCTTTTTGAGTCAAAGGGAGATTCTCACTTTCTCTGAAATCTTTTGTTTCCTATATCCCATTTGTTATGTGGGGCCCTCACTCCAAACACGTCTCTCTACTTTCCTATTTTGCTTCTTTCACCATATCCATTTTGGTTCTTGTGTTTCTCTAATTTTCTTTTGCTTTTTTCTTTTCTACTTAATTCCCACTGTACATTTATACATATATATACATATATGTGTGTGTGTGTGTGTGTATATATTCATGGCGTCTTGTGATCAATGCTGTGAATGGAAATAGTACTTAACAGTAACATTTTGTCACCGTGTGATAAATGGGTATCCGATATATATATATATATGTACTTTGCTCTGATACTTCACTTTCTCACGTGCATAACATACAATATATATATATATATGTATGAAATATTCGATTATATATGGATCGAGATAAGCAATGGCAGATGATGAAGATGAGATATGTTAAAATATTTCATTCTTCCGTTCTTATATATATATACACACACACACACACACACACACACACAATCATCTAAAAATTATTGAAATATCCTGTCTTATAAAATATAAAAGATACCTTTTAATTTCTAAATAATTATAAAATAATTTTGAGCATATATTTTAGTCTATTATTGATGTTGCATCATTTTGATCATGTACCACATCATATATGTGTGTGTGTATAGCTAGTGATAATAGAAGAGAATTCAACATTCTCCAAAGGGTCACTCAAGAAATCTCTTAATTAGAAATATATATGTGTGTGTGTGTGTATAGCTAGTGAGAATAGAAGAGAATTCAACATTCTCCAAAGGGTCACTCAAGAAATCTCTTAATAGAAATATATATATATATATATATATGTGTGTGTGTGTGTGTATAGCTAGTGATAATAGAAGAGAATTCAACATTCTCCAAATGATCACTCAAGAAATCTCTTAATTAGAAATATATATATATATATATATATATATGTGTGTGTATATAGCCAGTGAGAATAGAAGAGAATTCAATATTCTCCAAAGGGTCACTCAAGAAATCTCTTAATTAGAAATATATATGTGTGTGTGTGTATAGCTAGTGATAATAGAAGAGAATTCAACATTCTCCAAAGGGTCACTCAAGAAATCTCTTAATTAGAAATATACATATATATATATGTATATAGCTAGTGAGAATAGAAGAGAATTCAACATTCTCCAAAAGGTCATTCAAGAAATCTCTTAATTAAAAATATATATATATATACACACACACACATGTGGGTGTGTGTGTGTGTGTGTGTGTATATAATTGATGTTATAAATAAAGAAGACTAATGATACCCACTGGCTCACCTAAATGATCAAATATATATAATTAATATTGTTAATTATGATGATTATAATTGAGTTCATGATATTAAAATGGGATTAAGGCGTGCGTTTACTTTGATGATTATGTGGGGGGATATTTTCAAACCCTACCACTTATAATAAATCCTCAATATGCTTAATCTATAATTATATATAATCATGCATGTCATTACCCATAATTAAATTTTCTTAATTTAATGCTTTGTAAGGTCTACCCTCTCATTTATTATTAAATTTTGAATTTTCTACATCATTCATTTATTATTATTGATTATTAGTATATTCAATTATCACCCACATGATTAATGCAATGTAATTGTTATTATTAATTACTCATTATGAGGAATTAGATCATCCCTAATTATTGGATTTAGTCAAGAGTCTTTGTCGGTAAATATTTAAGTTAAAAGAATTAATTTTTAAATACATATTTCCTCCCGATACATTCTACGACTCGTGCAAATAACTTAAAACATTTTACCATACAACAATGTTTCAAGTCATCTTAAAACTTGGACCCATGAGCATAAAAGGGCTAATTACGAGTTGACCAAAGAACAATGACGATTACCATAGAATGTTGTAAAGAAAAGTTTTAGAACTACCATGAACACGAATGTCAATCTCATAGGGGTTTTAAAGCTGTGTGGGTGAAATCAAGAAAAGAGAAGTAAAATAATTTAAGTGTTGTATATCGTGCCTCGGATACATGATCATCCGATAATTTCCACCATCGTTTTAAATAAACAACAATGTTTCGCGGGCATGAAAGCATTTCTCGAAATAATCAAGTAGTTTTCACAATGTCAATCTTATAGAAATTTTAAAGCTGTGTGGGTGAAATCAAGAAAAAAAAAGTAGAATAATCTAGCGTTGTATATTATGCCTCGGATACATGATCCTCCAATAATTTCCACCATCGGGTTGAATAAACAACACTGTTTCACGGGCACAAAAGCATTTCTCGAAATAATCAGGTAGTATTCACAATGTCAATCTCACAGAAATTTTAAAGTTGTGTGGGTGAAATCAAGAAAAGAGAAGTAGAATAATCCAAGTGTTGTGTATCGTGCCTCGGATACATGATCCTCCGCTAATTTCCACCCTCGGGTTAAATAAACAACTATGTTTCGCGGGCATGAAAGCATTTCTCAGAATAATCAGATTATTTTCATGTATGCAAGATTATAATGAATCACCAATAGTTCATCAATGTACTTGAAGGTCTAGACTGAAAGTTTAGTATTCTCAACTTTTGAGCATGATAAAAAAAAAGGATCTTTTCAAAATCTAACCACCTAAAGCATCAAATACATGATATGCGATGAACTAACTGGCCATCTGTTTCACCAAATTCAACTCAACATTAATAGTAACTGTACATGAAATCTACAAAAAGAATTGACTGGATTCGAAACACAAATCAAGAACACCCAGTTTCATGCAGAATTGACCTGTATATACACCAACAAACTTGTAACTTACTGGCAAGTCATCAGGAAAACTTTATTCAATGGAGAAGGTCAATTATGTATTGAATGAATAGATCTGTTAAAACTTAATTACAGAAACAGAGATCTATAGTGAAGAGATACAGCCAACTAGCCAACAGTTGCAAACAGCTCTCTGAATTATACATACATGTATAATTTCAGTCATGGTTTTGAAAAAGATTTGCATGTAAAGAATATCTTTTTACAGAGGAATAAAAACAAAATGACCTGTCGTAGATCAGTCATTCCAGGAAACACCAGCTGGAGGTCTAGCATGCCGGGCCACAAATGATTGAACAAGGGGATTAACCAGATGAGGCGCTTCATCCTGCACATGCTTGAAGACAAATGAGAGCCAACACAATTAGTTGATATTGAGAGCACAATGACTTTAAGCCATGTATTATATTCTGATCGCATATATACCCCATCAACAATTATCAACACAGGGCCTATAAATTGACCTAAACTTGGACTTCCCAATAATGGCTTAGAATTATGCATAATTAAACCTTTTCAAGGCATCAGTTTCTGAAATTTGTCCAAATCCTTCAAAAATACTACTTTTCCCCTGGGTATAACAGCCTTAAACACTATAATACTCCTTTCTGTGAATCATTTGTATGTTTGCATGCTTTGTACAGATGCAACAGCCTGGAAGAGAGAAAAAAAAAGGGACCTGTGGGCAATGGCCAACATTAGGAAGGACAACGAATTCCTCAACAGAATCAAAATTCCCATAGGCTCTTCCGAGTTCAAGGGGCTCCCACGGATCCTTGTCTCCCCACCCTATCAGAACAGGACACTGTACAAAGAACAAAACAAAGCAAATTATAACAGATAATCAAGGTTACCAAAACTAGCAAGGATAGTAGCAATCACACAGGGACTTGGTCAAAAAACTGACCTTCACCTGTGGGAGTAACTCCTCAGGAAGAGGGCCCCCTGAGTAACAAATAAACTCAAGAAAGACATCCACTGCACCTGGCTCAAGTCCTGGACGAAGAATATTCTCAACTAGTTCCTCGGTCACCTGGGAAGTGTCATGGTAACACTGATGTGCAACGCAATAAAGATATCAGCTAGGAAAGGCTATGGATATATTCACTTCATTTATTTTTAGGATATCACATTTTGCTCTCATGGATGTTAAAATTATATATACTTGTGTGCACAAAACTGTTACAATATCATGATCACAATATTTCGGAACTATTGCTCAATATTTCAGATGCTATAGCATCATGGCATAGGCCAATATAGTTTAAGGTCAAGTTTGCAGGACACCATGTGATATACCAGTATCTTTCACATTGTTTTTTTTTTTAAGGACGTTAAGCTTTACAGGGGTTTTCTTCAATCTGTTACTAGTGGTATGACAAATTTCGCCCTAAGTGGTGCAGTGGAAGTCTTGTTTGAAAAGATCAAACATAAAGTACTTAGATTATTCACAATAAAAACTAAAACTTTGAACAATAATGTTGACCTGTATTAAGTTATATCTAACAAATAACTTCTTTTATAAAGTTTGCAAGAAGCACTTGACTAGGAATAGGAAATCCCAAGAAACTAAGAATCTAACTGGAAATAGGAAATATCAAAAACTAAAAAACTACAATAAGTCTTAGATTGAACTAGAAAATATCAAAAATAATAAAGTAATAGCACTTAAACTGAACTAGGAATAACACTTAGAATTGAACTAGAAGAAGGGTGCTGCATCAATCCCCTCCTCTTGAAGAAAACTCATCTCCAAGTTTTATGGTTGGCAAGAGAAAACTCATTAGGGGGATAGTACTTGAAAATATCAGCAGTATTAGAAGTACTAGAGATATTCATATCGGCAGGAAAATCAATCTTATAAGCATTATCACCAATCTTCTGAAAAATCTGAAGGAACCAATTCTTTTGTCTTTCAGCTTGTTGTAAGAACATACTTGGAAAATGATGTTTGCAGAGATAAACCATCACTGAACGCCATTTGAACACCTTAAGACATCTACATTGTTCTGCAGCTGTCTTATAACCTAAATTTGCATCTTCCAAATTCTATCTAACTTTTTGGTGAATTCGTTGTACATGCTCTGCAGATTCCTCTGCACTAGGATTGACATCAGCAGAGAGAGGAAGTCAAATCAAATCAACTGTATATTTTGGAGCACTGGTGTGGACAACTTCAAAAGGGGCCTTCTTGGTAGAATGGTTGTGCATGCTGTTAAAAGCAAACTCGATTTGTGGAAGGGCAGCATTCCATTGCTTTGGCTTGTCAACCACAAACCGATTGGATCATATTACCAAGGGTACGATTACAATCGAAAGCGTCCTATTGGATCAAATTTTCCCATAAATCCTTGATGTGTTATATAGGCAGACTTCTCCACCTAGAAATAACACTGCCCTAGTGTCACCCTCTGTGATTTTCAATTTTAATTTTCTTCAAAGTGCAGTTCCAGGAGGCACATACAAACATATAAAACACAGTAAATAAAACAGGTTTCAACAAAGATAAATTTTTTCAAGACAGTAAATTTTGAATTTCTCCAAGGTTTCTTCTCATGGATGGGGGTGTATAATTTGCTATTCTTAGGTGCATTCATAGAGCAAAACCTGATGGGGCACATTGTCATATATCTTGACGATGGAGCTTAACTCAATGAGCCTCTAAAAATGTCAAAAATTAAAATCATTTGAATGCTTCCAGCTTTTATCACATGATTCGTCATGGCTGTTACATTTTGTGGTCAGATTATATGCGTCAAAAAAGCTCATTTTGGTCGTGAAAACATATAAGGGCAGAGTTTACTGACCCAGAAGTGTAAATTGCAGTTTAAATGCATGTCAAAGATGGGATTCTTCATGTTATGCATGCTAAAAAATTTTTCCATATATATATATGTATAGGAGGCAGCAAACAAAGATGAGCAACACCCATGAGAATAAATAAAATATTCACACAAGATTGCCGCAATCCGTTCCAATTGATGATAAAGCAGCAAGA